AGCAGCCTCATGTCCCAGTGGGAACTAGTGTAGTTACATTGAAAAAGGACTGCAGACTAGTAGCAATCTGCCATTGATGACTCCACCAACACACTTTGGAACAGATTAATCAGCCCATATACACCAATACGATCGTAGATCAGTTTGCAATACACCCAATCCAGAAACAGACCACCAGTAAAATGGATGTGTCAGCTGTAGATTCCCAGAGTGAAAAAACACATAATAGCATTCATGGACACATGAAATTGAGCAAAACATAAAAGACACACAAGACATGACCTTCACAAGACTCTGTTTGTATGAGGTTCGACACAGGCAAAGCCAGTCTATATCTTCTGTGGATGCATCCAAAAGCTGGTCCAGAGCAAAGGAAAGAGACAATGCACATGGGTCATGTGGATCAGTTGTGGGAGGAGGGAAAAGACCTGGCATCCTTGAAGCAATGCGCCATTTCTTGGCTTCCTTTGTGTCTGTCCACAGTACCTTCATTCTGTGTTTATTTTTCATTTATATATGTTTCATTATTAAATGATAATAAACGCAAAATTCCAACAGGGTCAGAGGTTTCTGGACAAACCCTGCGGACAAAAGGATGGAAATTCCCCTGGAGCGGTGTATTAGGCCAGGCAGAAGTTTACAGATTGTACTCTGAATTGAACATCAGAAATAAACCAGGAGTGGGGGTGTTACTCTGGAAACTGACACAAGAGGACTGCAAGTCCAAGACTTGCCTGAACTACATATTTGAGCTCAAGGCTAACCTAGACAATGTAGTGAAACTCTGTCTCAAATTAGGAAAACAAACAAACAAAAACACAAACCAAACCAAACAAAAAACCAGCTCTACTTCCTGGTCCCCTCCCCCATGTGAACAAGCAGAGACTTTTAGGAAAGCAGTGCTGTTCCAGTGAGCTTAAGAAACACCCTGCTATGGAGAAGTCAGCGCCTGCTACTCTGCCTGCACACAGTAGGGCACTAAGTATTATTTTGCAGGAATCCCAAAACAAGCAGTAAGGTTGGCAAATTCTTTGAATCTGCACCGCTCGAACACGAGGGGGCCCTGTTTTCCTTATACAGCAGAAGGCTGGTTTTACCGCAACTAGTGCTCCTGTGCCCGCATTGGCTGTTACACAGTGAGTGGCAGGCCGATTGACTATCAAAATATTGGCCCCCGACAGAGGGCCGAGATTCCCGTGAACCAAGACTGTTCAGAGCCTCTGCGGCGTCCCGCCTCTCTCCGCAGCGCCCAGGCTGGAGAAGGGGCGTGTACCACCACCCGCGATGCGGAAAGAGGAGGCACGCGGTCGGGAGGGCGGGCGCAGGGCAGCTGTGGTCTATGGCTGCTCCGTGCGCTTCCCCGACAGGCGGCGCTGGCCAGCCTGATTTTGTTTGTTTGTGTGTTTGAAGCCATGCCACCTTCCCAGCAGTAAATAAGGAGACCAGTCCCGACTTGCAGTGCTTGCACCTCTTCCCCTCAGCGATTTCTGCCTCAGGCCGCTGTTCCCACCTGAGTTATCCTACCCTGACTAACTTCCATGTCCAACCAGCTCCCTTAGGCCATTCTAAAACAGAAATGGCTTCCTCTGCACTCCATCACCCTAGAGGGGCATTGCTGGGTCACAACGCAGAGTACAAAATTCCTTTTGGATTCAGTTCTTTCTTCAGAGGTTGTTGCTGCCTGTTTGTGTGGGTGTTTCATTTGTTTTTTAGATCAGGACTCCCTCTATAGCCTAGGCTGGCCCCCCAAGTGCTGGTTACAGGTGTGAGCCACCACACCAGATTTCAGGGTACTCTTGCCTGAGATTTGGGCCCATGCTTTCTGCCACAAGGCAGAGCACTTATATTCAGTTTGTGGTCGTGAAAACCAGTCAGACTCTACCCTAGAACTTCGTAGAAAGATAAGAAAGTTTGGAGTTTGCAAATGACAGACCCACTTGAGACTTCTATGACCACCAAACCCAGTTCTAGCTTTCTCAGTGAGACAAGCTGAGAACAGAAAGTAGAGTCATAAAGTGTCTCTTAGGGGCCTAGTGACTGCTACTCCAGAGAAAGAGCATGCCCAGGTTGTCACCTGCCTCCATGGCCCAGGAGAAAAGGGAAGTCATGTTCTCGCTTAGATAGTAGGATAGAAGTATTCCTGGTGATTTGGGGTGTTGGTTTTCTCTGCAGACCTGCCTTCCAGTCAGTTCTCTCTGCCCTATACCTGGAAGGCTGGCCCTTAGAGACTCCATTTAGGCACAGCATTGACTTTGGGTTAGGCCTGTAGGGAGCTTGGCAGGTGAATAAGCTCCAGTGGCTTCCGCAGTGCCAGGTCAACATCCAGTGTGGCTCTGCTCTGCAAAAGACCTCTGTCCAGATAGAGGTGAAGATGGCACCAACCACTGCAGGCCTGGTTGTTCTACCAGCCCTCGACAATTTCCTTGACCTTGCTTATCTTTGTAAATTTCTGTTCTGCCTGTAGAATGCCACCTGCCTCCTAACAGGACCCCAGCAGACACACTGAAGTTTCTTTTCCTTCATAACATCTTGAGCCAGCCTCTGAGCCAAGCTCAATGGCACAGAGGTGAGAGACAAAGGTGACCGGCTCACCACTGGGCCTGGTGAATCTAGGATGCAGGTCAACAGCCAGTGGGGACAGAGCCCAGGGAGCAATGATCATGTGAAGCATTCCAATCATAGACCTCCAGGCATGAGGGAGGGAAGTGGAATATTCCAGGCAGCTTTGTAGAAACTAAAGGAGGGTGTGTGGTCAGTACTGCAGGAACTAGCTAAATCAGTACACTCAGGGACACTGTCGGGGGCCAGAGTCTGGAAGCACATAGTTCAGTTTCTCCTGGAGAAAGCTCATTCTGGCAAGGACAGAGAGGTAGGGGTAGCAAGCTTGGGAACAAGGAAGCCAGTGGGGGAATGCTTCTGGAATACAGGCAGACATAAGTTCATGAACTAAAACAAATGGGAGATTAGTGGGTGGAAGAGATAAACAAAGTTCCTAGAAACTAGACCTTGCTGCCGGGCACCCTTGAAATCCCAACACTATGGGGACTTGAGACTAGAGGCTGCATTGTGAGTTCTAGGTTAGCCTGGGCTACATAGTCAAACTGTCTCCAAACACATACATGTTCACCACCACCATCAACAACAGCAAACATCATTCACTAGTACATTGGGAGTAGGAAGGGGAGAAGGATAAGTCTGGAAAACCATTTCTGGATGGATAGCCATGACATAAGGGAAGGAAAGGAAAAAAAAAAAGAAAAGGAAAGGAAAGGAACCTGCAGACATAGGTCTGACTTCACAATAGTCTAGACTCACACTGTGTATTTTCTTCCTTTCAAAAACATTTACTTATTTTATGTGTCTGAGCATGTCTGTGCACCACATGTGTGCCTGGTGTCAATGGAGGTCAGAAGAGAGCTTCAGATCCCTTAGGACTGGATTTATAGACATTTGGAAGTCACCCTGCAGGTGCTGGGGCATCTAGAAGGGCAGCCAGTGCTCTTAACCACTGAACCATCTCTCCAGTAAACTATCTTACAGAACATGGTGTGTGCTGGTCATCTTCAAGACCTGCAGAACAGTATGAGTCAGTTGAGCAGATAAAAGCTCATGTGTCTCTGCTCTGCTATTTGCTAAGAAGTTGATGACCAACAGCCACCACAAGTTGACCATCTCAGGTTTAGTGTGAACCATCACGTACCGTGTCAGGCACTTTATGGAGAATACTTAGACCCCATTTGTTAGAAAGTTCACACAACCCTATAGGCTCCAACTTAGGAAGACTTCAGTAACTTGCTCCCAGGCCATCTCCTAGAAAATGTCCTCACAGTAGGAATCTGAACACCAAACCCAAACTCCTGGGAGGTTCCTTAATCCTTTCTCTGAGCTGACAGAACCCATAAATCGGAGTCCATTCCATCCTGCCAGGAGTTTGGAGAGCTCAAATCACTCCTATTGTCCTCAAGACATTAGCTTAGAGGCCTCGGTGGTGAATGGCTGCTATCTAAATAACAATAGACTTGGGCCCAGGCAGGTTTACTCTCACCCTGAAGGCTAGGTGACTTGTGTGCAGCTATGGTGCCTGAAGGTCAAGAAGTACATGCAGCTACAAGTGTCTTTAGGATTAAGGGAAGTAAATGCTATTTGCCCTTCATACATGGTAACAGAAGTCTTCTGCCATTGTCCCCACCTTTGGTTGATTACTTAAGAAGATGTATGAATAAACAGGCACATTCAGTATGGACTATAACTGCCCTCCTGACACTATCCTATTTCTCTGTCTTTCCTTTAGTCTATAGCTAGCCTTTCCCTCATCCACACTCCCCAACTCAGGAATGGACCTGGGGTTGCTCTGCTGGTCCTGACCACAGCCCCAATAAACACCAATCCACAACACTGAGCAAACAGCCCAGATACTATCTATTCAGAGACTTCATTTCCCCCTTCAGAACAGGATCCTTAGCGGGGACTCAGATTTGCTGCCTTTCCTACCTCATGGTGTCTCCCCCACCTCCTAATGATGAGGCTCTTGATGATATTCTAAGTGATGGGAACCAGGGGCAATGATGCACTCCTGGGGGAGCCAGGCATGATGGTTCACTCCTGTAGTTTCAGCACCTGGAGAACAGGGTCAGGGAAATTACCAGAAGTCTGAGGCCAGCCTGGTCAACAAAGCAAGCTCCAAGCCAGGCAGAACTGTATAACAAGATTCTGTCCCAAAAATGAAAAAAAAAACATGAAAAAGAACATTCTTGGGTGCAAGTTGCACCCTGAAAAGTGAAAATGTCAGTTAAATAACTTACATTTTGCTCTGCTTGCTTTACTACACACACACACACACACACACACACACACACACACACACACACTTACCCCTTATCCATTTGTATGCATTTCACAGCCTGGTGCAAATATCTATAATTACCTGGAATAGTTTCCATACTTATTTCAGTTCTTTTTAAATGTTAGCTTTAAGGTAAAATCAGGATATGGTTGTATTCAGTATTCCCATTCTAGCTAATGAGGTAAATGACCAGAGTTTGTTCCCCAAAGTGATATGTATTCATTTTCCTAATAGTTCAAAATCAGTCCTTCTGGATCAAAGTCAAGGTATCAGTAGGGCTGGTTCCTTGTGGAGGCTTCAATGAGACCATCCATGTCTGTGCTTGTTCCCTGGCGTGTGACCCCCCCTTTGTCACAGCACACTGACACCTTGCTTCTATAGTCACCTTGCCTCCACTACCATGTGTCCTCCCACTTTCCTCTTATAAGGATAGTTTGGGCTCTGCCCACCCCCACACTGGCTGCCACTGCTGTCCCTGCCATCTCAAACGCTTTAGCATTATCACAGCTGTGAAGCATTTGTCACATGAGGGACACAGTCACAGATTACAGGGACCCAGATGTGGTCACCCTGTGAGTCATTCAGCTTCCACCTTCATCACTTGATTAGTTTTTACAAATGTTCACACTGGGTAACCCAAATTCCCCTCAAGGATGCAGAATCCTTCCTCACCCTCAGGAAGTTCTCTCAGGCCCCTTCCCAGGAAGTGTTTTCCTCACTCTTCCCACCAGAGGCAAACAGTTGTCTTTTCACTTCCTTTTTGGAAATAAAGAATAGCTCTTCAACCTTTGAATCTGGCTTCTCCTACTTAGCAAAGTGTCACTGGGACTGGTTCATGCTGTGTCTATCAGTATCAGATTGTTTCTTTTGATTGCTGAGTAATATTTCAGACAGACAGACCTTGGTCAGCTTACTCTGTCACCCTTCTGTCGATGGCATTATGATCTTGGTTGCTTGTCCCTCGGCCTGTAATAACCTCCTTGCCACTGACTTGTGTTCCTAGAACAAAGTCACACCCATAGGCCTCACAAGACCCAGTGTGAAAGCTGGGTCTTTGGAAAACACGTTGAAACTCACTGCCACACCTCCTCTCTATCCTGCACATACTTTGGTCTTTGTCCTTGACTGTTTTACGATCCTTACTTGTTTTTGGCTCCTGTTGCTGGAGTCTACACCACCAGGGGCAGGAACCAGGGTGTTTTCACTCTGCCTTCCACCTGAGTCAGCCTAGGGTAGAAGAAGCACAGGTCTGGTTACTTGAAACTAATTCTAGCTTTCTCATCATTAACAAAATGATCCTTGGGTTTTACAAATAAGATGTCCCCATGAAGCACTTGGCAAAAAGCCAATGTCTGCAACAAGGATTAGACCTTCGTTTGTGGAAGACATGGGTAAGGGGCCTGTAAAATGATGATAAAGTTGGTCACATGCCATGAAGCTTGTTTCTTTTCATTCTTAAAGGATGGAGAGATCTACTTTGTTTCAAAACCTGACATGAGCATGAAGGACAGATAGGTAGTGAGTCCAATTCCCCCCTTGTCCTACTTTGCTTTTATTACTGTGATAAACACTGTGGCCAAAAGCAATAGGAGATGAAAAGGTTGATTTTACAGCCAAGGGAAGTCAAGGCAGGAACTCAAGCAGGGCAGGAACCTGGAGGGAGGAATTGAAGCAGAGGCCATGGAGGCATTCTTCTTACTGGCTTTCTCTCCATGGCACATTCAAGTTGACGTTTTATACAATCCATGATCACCTTCCCAGCGTGGGTCCACCCATATCAATCATGGATAAGACCATGCCCCCACAAACTTCCCTAAAGGTCAATCTGGAGGCTAGGCAATTGAGGGTCCCCCTTCACAGATGACTCTAGCTTGTGTCAAATTGACAAAAGTTAACTGGCACAAATCACCTCTTGTCAGTTTGACACACAAACGCATCACTACTAAACTACAACTTTCTCTTTCTTGGTTATCCCCAAGATTTCATGTGAACACCACAGTATAAAAACATAGCATAACCTTTAATCCCTATAGTCTTCAAAATTTTCAACTCCCTCTCTCTCTAAGTTTTTTGAGACAGGATTTCCCTCTGTAGCTTTGGAGCCTGTTCTGGAACTCGCTCTGTAGACCAGGTTGGCCTCAAACTCACAGAGATCCTCCCAAGTGCTGGGATTAAAGGTGTGTACCACCACCACCTAACCAAGTTATATACTTTCTTAATCCAAGAGGGAAGAACCAGGGCACAGTTACGATCAGATCAAAGCAAACCCCAAACCCAGAGTGTATACAGCTCAGTATGCAACACCTAGGAATCACTCATTGTCCTTTGGGCTCTCAAGGGCTAGGTATTCCCACAAAATAAAATACCTCTAAAGCTCTACCATGCACATGCAGCTTGGCACTGCCCTTGGTGGTTATCCCATAGTCTTGTCATGTCCACATCCCATAGTGCAATATGCTGGAGTCGCCATAGCAACTGAGGTTACACTTTCACCAATGGCAATTTTTCCTTTCAGGGACTCTAACGTGCTACATGGTGTCAAACCTCAGCTTCTCTCCATGACCACTTCAGTCTTAGGGTCTTTACTACAATTGAGCCTGTGCTTTCATCTGTGGTATCCCCTGGACTCTTATATTCCAAGTTCAGCTGCTCTCCATCACCCCTTCCCATCCTGTAGCTTTCAGTACCATGTGGGAGATTCGTATACATTACCAAGTTTGGCTGCTAGATTGAGATGCAGTCTTAGCACCCTCTGGACCACACCCTCTGTGTGCTAACCCTGAAGAAATAGTCCTCAGAAGATTTCATCTAATGATACTGGTCTCATTTATCACAGATTCATAGGCTCTGTAGCCTTTGGTTCTGAAACATTCCAGCAGCCCACCTAGGTTTTCAGACATTTAGCCTCAGACTAAGTGCTATGATGATTACCTGGTTGATTCTGAACCCTTTGGAATTGGACTAAGCCTCACTACCAGCATCCCTGGGTCTTCAGTTTACTGATGACCTCACAGGGAACTTCTCAATCTCTGTAACTATAAGCCAATCCTTCTAAGAAATCCTTCCTCACGTTTCTCTGTCTCTCTGTCAAACCCCAACTAACACAGATTCTGGAAACAAGAATGGTTCTAGATGGATATAAATTTAAGGAAAGGCAAACTTAAGTTGTTCTTTAATCTCATTAGACCTAAAAATGTTGAGTACTTCACTTCTAAATGAGATGGCACTGATAACCCATGGTGTGTTTGCAAATATATACAAAATAAATGTCCTGAGTGTTCTTGCTCTGTCACTTACAGGATGAGAGGAAGCTTTGGATGTTTGTGAACATTGGTAGAGAACCAAGGGACATGGCAACATTGACTGCTCTGAAAATCAAGTGCATGTCCATTGTGTAGTTTACTGAGTTACAGTGAATGCTGAATGTTCAACGTCTAAGGATAGCTACTGTTCAGGTGAGGTCACTGGCTGAGAAAACTGAAGTCTTTCAAGTTCAGATGGAGCTGTGCAGAAAGATCTGGAAGAAGCTGGAGACAGAGCTTCTGAGTCCTGTTAAGTCTTGCTTATGAATTGAAATGGTTTCTATGCCCTCACTTCTCACATCCAATCAATAGTGACCTCTTGATACAGCTGGATCAGCCTTTCTACCAGAGTCTAGGGGGCTAGGCCTGCATTGCCTTGGAAACCATAATTGCCTCCCCATGGCAGTTGCCATGGAAGACAATGCTGAGTCTTTCTAGGACCTGGTCTCACCACCCCATTTGCTTCTAGACCTATAAGCTAAAGTTCACAGGCCTCTAAAGGGGAGACACAAAGGCTGACTCAGGAGGAGATGTGTTCTGGTCCAAAAGAACTATCTTAGTTTTTCAATTTATACAAACACAAACCCAAGAAACAGGTCTGTCATTGTAAATGTAAGAGATACTTGTGGAAGGAAGATAACTGTGAGTCTGGCTGAAATTATTGGTATTTTTCCCAAGACAGAGAGTATGTGTAGATCAGGGAGTTGGAATGGAGCTAACAGTTTGGCTGATTGGCTAAAGCACGGACCAAAAGGTGGCCCAGTATGAGCAAGTTAGAAAGGTCTTATCTTGGGCTAGCATAGAAATGATTCAAAGGTGTAGGGAAATGCAATGCCACCATGAAGTGTCTCTGCTTTAGGAGATGCCACCAGTGGCTAGGATGTGATTTTCTACCTGATTCTGACAGCTTAAAATAAGAAACTAGTAATTGTCACTCAAGATTCGATCCAAGACTGGCCTCACCCAGCCTGAAGGGCTAGATCATAGGGTTGACTTTTCATCTGAGCTAATTCCCATTCATCTCTTTGTTCAGGTAGATAATATGCAGGGGTGTTAGGGCTTTTTTTTCTTGCTGTTTATCATACCTTGGCAAAATATAAGAAGGCCCTATGCTGGAGAAGTAGCTCCTAGGGTGCTGTGGTGGAACTTCCGGGCCATGCATGCTCTTTTGATGAGTGTGCACTCACGAGTGTGCATGTGCATGCTCGAACATATGCATATGGAGGCCAGGAATCAATGTGGAGTGGAGTGTCTTCTTTGCTCATTCTCTGTCTTACATTTTTGAGACAGACTCTCATTGGACCCATTTGCAAGACTGGCTGGCCAGCAAACTCTAGGGATGCCCCATCTCTGCCTCCCCTGTGCTGGGGTTATAGGAATGTATCACCACACACAGCTTTCAAAGTCTTTGTGAGCACTGGGGATCCGAACTGAGGTCCCATGCTTGTACCACAAGCACTTTGCTGATTAAGCCATCTCCAAGCTCCTCTCCTAACCCCTCTTCTGCATTTTTAGGTGCTCGTTGCTGACTGAAATGTGGCTTCCTATCAAGTCAGCTGCCTTCTGAGGCCCAAATAGAACACAAATGTTGACCATCCTACCCAAACTCTCTCTGTCCAGTCCATCCTCAGCCACCCTCAGATCGAGTACTGCACCATTATGTTCTTAGAGAAAGACTCCTTGCTTCAGGGTTAGGGTTTCAATAAGTAGAGACTCTAACTGGAATCAAGCTGAAAGACTGGGAGTCAGAAGAGGAGGAATTACATCAGCAAGATCTAAGCCTGTGATCTGAGACTTTGATCTCAGCTGTGCATCTGCTTGGAGTGTCTCCTCCTGGTACTCCCTGATAATGGGCCTTTCAGTGGCCTCTGCATTGGCCTCGTTTCCCTCACCCTCATCTAACTAACTACTAACTACACAACTGTAAGAGCTGGCTCCCCTGCCCCATGCTTTCTGCACCCTCCCATTCATGATCTACTGAATCCAAGGCAAAGCTGTCTATGACTCAGCAGGAAATGGGAACCCAGTGACCCAGGGAAAAGGACAGTGAGGCAGAGCACTGAGTCAAGTACAGCCCTTCTGGGTCAGTGGGACATGCACAGCTTGTCCAAGATGTGTGATGCTACACAAGGGCACTCTTCCAGGGATCCTGTGACATACCACAAGGAGTACTAATAAAAATAGAAACTGGTATGCAGACCAAGTGAGTTCACAAGCAAATGTCCACACAGAAGCCTTCCCCATGAAGGCATGAGAGGAAAGAAGATGAGGAAGAGGTATGGAGAAGGGATATTGGGAAGGTATGTGGAAGGAAAATGAGGAAAACTTGTGGGGAAAACACTGAGAAGTCTGTTAGTTCACATCACTGGAAAGACCAGGCCCTTCTGTGGGGGCTTCTAGAGTAGCCCAGGGTCTGCCAATCTTATGCTGCTCATGAGAGTGGCATATTCTAAGAGCCATCCTTTGTCCTGACAGAATTTTTTCTCATATAAGATATGAAACAGTGTCCTGTTGATCTGTGGTGTCTCCCTACCCATAATGCACTTTGTCCCTGGGACAAAAGTGGAGTGTAGGGAGAGATAGGGACAGGATCATTCCATGCACAGTTGACAACGGAGAAAAGGAACCCATTTTCACTTTACAAACTATATGAGCTTAATAATCTGTTTGTTATCCAATAAGGATCCCTGTCTATGTTGTTCCTCATCTCTGTCATCCCCCTGTCTACATCATTCCATATCAGAGATTTCTTCCTCCTTAATCATTTTTAAGTTGATTCACTTTATGTATAAGGGTGTTTTGTCTACATGTATGTCTGTGCACCATGTATGTGCCTGGTGCCTAAAGAGGTCAGGAAAGGTTGCCAGGTCCCCTGGGGCTAGAGTTATAGGTGGTGGTTGTGAACCGAGTGAGTATCAGAACTGAA